TTAGGATCATTTTCATGCCGAAACGAATACATATTTCAATTAGCGTAAAGTTCTAGGAGAGTGCAGAGGTTTCGCCTTTGGCCTCTCTCTCCAGGCTTAGACTTTTAGAAGTAGACTATTCGCTTAGAATTTTGGATTTCTTTGTTTAGTTTCATATTATGAAGCCATGGCCTTGAGCTATCTCCAGTCATGGCTCCTGTAAGAGTTGCAACGGCACTTTCAATCATTCGAAGGTTTTCTCGCCTACTGCCTGTGAGAGAAGCCGAAAACGATCAGCTGCTGTAACTCCTCTTCAGTACAAAAAAAGCCAAAAACACTCATTTTTACGCTGATTGAGTTCATAAACAGTTTTGGAAACCTCGTAAATTTTTGTCATGGACACTGCATTTGAACATGCAAATCTTCATCTACTCTTTTTAAACGATTCTTAATGAATCGGCTTTACCGGGTACAATGCCAAAACTTTCAATTGCTCCCTGTATCGCAAAACTTGAATTCGTCTAGCAACTTGAAATTTTCAAGCAAAAATTAAGAACCGTGACCACTCACCTTATTTTCTCTTTCTTCTCGCGTAGATTCTAGTCTCTTCCACTCGTCGATAAAGAGCTGTGCATCCTTTTCCAATACGCATGCACCCTCAATTCTGAAAAGAAGAATATAATGACAAGAATGGATTTTGAAAAAGACACACTACATTGGAAAGTTTGCGCAAGAGTTGAACTCCCATCCCACAACAGCAGGAACGCACTCCAACCCTCCCAAACGTCGAGCGATGTTAGGTAATCCAGGTAAACGTATATGTACCGCTCCAACTGGGCACATGGACGGTTGATACATGTAGACATTGCCATACTCGTTGCGTGGAATGCGCCCCTAAATAGATTTTAAGAAAAAACTGAGCTTGAAACTAAAAATAAACAGCAAGGACGTGAATATATGTATGAACAACATACATTTTCAACCTTTGGTGGTCGAAATGGTTCCGTCTGCCAATAACCAAAGATATCCAGATATTTCTGTTCACGTTGTTCAATGGGAATACGAGGGTTTGTTCGGGCTTTCACCACTTTATAAGGTTCTTCTCCTTCCTTAAAAGCAAACAATAACTCAAAAGAGAGAAAAGGTATACTAAGTACCTTGACGCTCCTTGCCATTTTAATCCAATTATTCGCACTTTGGAGAGTGTAAACCGTAGAGCGCGGAAAGACTTTGTGCCCGCGGACCTCGCCCAATGGTTTCTGATCCTCGGGTTTTGGATAAATACCTTCAAACTTGAGCAAGTCTTTCTCCAGGACGTACCTAAACAAAAGCAAGTAGCCTTGGTCGCGCAAAATTTCCATTTCTGACTAACAATGGATGGTTTTTATATTCCGCAACTGTAGTTGGAAGCGGTTTATTCACAAGCTCTTGTCGCAGGTACATATCTTCTTGGTCGCTTCTTTCTCGATTCGCACGCAATGACTTAACGATAAATGTACATCATCAAGTGATATCTGCATTTTAGAAGAGGAACAAAGATCTACTGCAAGTTTTGAAATATGAAAAATACTAGTTTAAAATTGCTTATTTACAAAAAAAGCAGGCATATACACCACTAGCTCCAGTCATGATGGTTGAAAAAATATTCAAGGCATACTTTTCTTCTCAGAGTAGTGGCAATCCATTGCTGAGTAGTGCGTAACCGGCGAAACTCCGGGCGCAAGTAGTTGGAAGCATAACGGGCAGTAATATCCCGAACACCGCCTTCTGCAATGCACAGGTTTAAATTTTGCTGTCACACATAAAATCATGCAACATTTTAGTACAGCCTTATTTACTTCAATCTTTCCCAATTCCCTGTCCGTTGAAAAAGCCACCACCCAATCGAAAACACATTTTTTGTGCTTCATATGAATATTTCTCGAAGAAAACGCACAATTTTTAGATAGATGCCATCAGTTCGTTACCAACTTTCAGACATCTCATACAACATTTTCTGTTGTATAATATATACAGGCAGGTTGAGCAATAAAACAGCGCTGGCGCACTGCATAGATGCGGCATTTCGACATGATGGAGCATTGGCTTGATGTTTTTTCGAAAATTTACTGGGATGCTCTTTGATTACCCCTAAATGTAGGAAAATAAACGGACGGACCGCT